CCAATGTGCACCTCACAGAACACAGTTAGATAAAAGCCAGGAGTAGAATTTGCTCAAGTGACTTGTGCAGTAAATAACAGGAATGATGTTCAATGGAGGCACGCACACCTTTGGTTATTTTTTAAAAAATCTTTCAAAGCTACTCTGCACCAAAATAAAACGTGAGGCAGGATGAGGATTTTTGACCAGTTCTGGTCATGTATCGCATTGGCAATGCTTCACAGTGACAGCCGGATAATGCAAGTTATTGAGGTCATAGATTTTGGGATTCTAGCCTGTTATTATCTGGTACACTTCATCCTCAATGTTAATGGGGAGATTTTAACTGCAGGCAACATATTTTCCCACAGGAAAGAAAATCAGAGAGCAAAATCAATCTGTGCTGCTGTTACACAACTCCTAATGGTCAGTTTAAGGGTTATCTGTTAGGGGATGGAGAGTTGGTTAACTTACCTAGCTTCACTGCTGGTCAATATTGCATAAACAATAAACAGTAATCAGACTAAGCAGAAAAAAACATAATTTACAAAACACGAAAAAAACATTCTATACCTCTACAACTCCTTTTAGTATTTTTCTTTTCAGCAAGCTGCAAAAGTGACCAATAAAGCATTTAAATCTCTAAAGAAGTATTTTCTTTGTGTAATATCACTTTACCCTTCATTTCAACAGTGATGACAGTTCAAATGTCTCTCATTAGCTGTCAAGCATTTTGGAACATACTGACATTGTGAAATACTGTTACAAATGCAGATCGTTCTTATTAACCAGTAAATCTTTTGTATGTAAAATGCAGCAAATTAAAGAATCCATCCAAATGTATCAATATTAAAATACTTCAAAAACTGGGTACAATTGCAAGATAACGTCCAGTAAATCCCATAGTGCTTCTCTGAGAATTGAAACACTTTGACTAGTTTTCAACTGAAAAAATTTAATACAACATAAGTTGTTGCTTTTGCTCTGAGAAACCCAATGATTACCTGATAAGATTAATGAGGTCAAGGTGGAATCCCTTGCCACAAACAGTCATAGGGGCACAGTCTTTGGGCACATTTAAGATTGAGATAGATGAATTCTCAATCAGTAAAGAAATCAAGGGTTATGGGGAAAATGTACGAAAGTGAATGTGAGGAAAGCTAGATCGGCTATCATCCTATTGAATGGTGGAGCAGGCTTGAGGGGCTGAATGGTCTTATAAGGTCAGACATTCACAAATTGTACAATTATGATCATCCGTGAACATTAAGAAATTACCAAAGTTTTGTAAAAGTGAAAAGTTATTATCTGTCACAAAATACAGATTATCTTGTTATTATAACATTGCTGTTTTGACACTTGCACACAATTCGGCTGCTGCATTTTCTAACTGCAATGCTGACCACACTTCAAAATTGTCTCATTGGATGTAAAGTACTTTAGGGAATCCCTATGTGGGAGCAACACACTGTAGAAATGCAAGTTAATTCTTTGAAGGCACTTGCATCTTAAATACATTTATCAGGTGTAAAGACATGTCTGATTTATAATGTCTTTGCCAACCTTATTTTAATATTTACTCTATTGTTTTAAATGTTTGACACTTTGTTAATTCTGGTCACTTCCAATTATAAACTGCTCATTGAGGATACCTGACACGATAGGTGTAGAATAGTTAAGCAGGTGAAAGTTTTACATCTTCTCCACACATCCTAAATTAACTAAATATTATGCCCACAAATAATTAATAATAAATGCAAATGACTGTTAGTTCTACAATAGTAATACCATTATCATTGGGAATACCACTCTGATTGGAAATATGATTGGAAATTATTAATTATGTAAAATAGCCAGTTCTTTAAATGCCTTATTTTAATGTACTGAGTCATTAGTTAACTATTTTGCATTTTGATTACTGCAAAAAAAATTACACACCCAAAAAGTATATGGGGATCAGTTGCCTTTTTTTGATTCACTGGATGTGGGCATCACAGACAAAGCCAACAAAGCCATCCCCAATAGGCTTGAGAAGATAGTAGTAAGCCCACTTCTTGAATACTTTTGAGTAGCTTGTGAGGCCATTTCAAAGGGCAGTTGAGAATTGACTACATTGCTGTGGATCTGGTGTTAGTTCAGTTGGCTGACAGCTAGTTTGTACAGTGATGCCAACTGTGTGGGCTCAATTTCTGCACTAGCTGAGGTTACAATGACAGATTCTCCTTCTCAGCGTTCCCCCCTCACCTGTGGTGTTGTGACCCTCAGATTAAATGCCCCTAAATGTCTCTAATGAGAGAGAAGCCTGTCATTAGCTAGGACTCTGGCAAATTTATTTCTATAGATAAGGATAAAAGATTTCCTTCCCTGAAGGATGATGATAATTTAGTTACTAATACTGATGCTAACACTACTTGATTTAATTAATAAAATTTATTTTTGGGAAGTGGAAAATGTCGTAATGCTCAGCAGGTCAGACAGGATTTGTGGAGAGTGAAATAGAATCAATATTTCAGGCAGAGCAGCTTTCATCAGAAATTAGGTGATAAAATTTGAACAAGTGAAGGGGAGGGTGAGGAAGAGAAGGAACAAAAAGGGGAAGTCTGTGATTATTTTTCTCTGAGAAAGTCATGACTCTTTGGAGCTCTCTTCCTCTAGAAGCAATGGAAACAAAGCCCTTGAAGGTTTTACAGCAGAGATCAATGAGTTGAAAGGCTGCTGTGAAGGAATCAGTCATGATCTTATTGAATGCTGGAGCAAGCTCAGGGGACTGAATGGCCTACTCCTGCACCTAATTGGTCTGCTTATAACATAGATTGGAGGACAGGGCAGATTAAATAATAAAATGTTCCATGGTAAGGGGTAATAAAGGAAAAAAATACTATCTAGTGTGAATGGCTGGTTACCAGCTGTCCAAATGATATAAAGGATAAAAAGGGAAGAACCAAACCAGCAAAAAAAATGAAAGCAGAGATTTAGTTTGAAAGTTTGAATTGAAGATTGAGTCCAGAAGCCTGCAGAGTGCCAGGTGGATGATGTGTTATTCCTCAAGCCTACACTGAATTACACCGCAGCAGGTCAAGGGCAGATCAGGCGCAAGGTAGACGATTGAAATGAGACTGAGAAAACTCAGGGTCATGCTTGTGGTTAAGGCTTCCTGCTTTTGATTTCTGCATTTCTTTCTTTGATCTGTCAGGTTACATTTGGGCAGCTTTGGCTCAGTCATTCACACCTTATCTGTGTGCACCTTTGCCCCATTACTTCAGCCATTATCACTCCCATTGGTTTTTTGTACCAGGAAACCTTCATGTGACCTAAAACAAAAACAGAAATTGCTGGAGAATCTCAGTATGTCTGGTAGCATCTGTGGAGAGAAAGTAGAGTTAACATTCTAACGAAGAGTCAATTGACTTTCAACACTAATCTAAGTTTCTCTCCACAGAGATAGTAGGAACTGCCAATGCTGGAGAATCTGAGATAACAAGGTGTAGAGCTGGATGAACACAGCAGGCCAAGCAGTATCAGAGGAGCAGGAAAGCTGACGTTTCGGGTCGAGACAACACGGTGCAGGGCTGGATGAACACACTCGGGTCGAGAGCCTTCTTCAGAAATTGGGGAGGGGAAGGGGGTTCTGAAATAAATAGGGAAAGAGGGGGAGGCAGATAGAAGATGGATAACTCCCCACCTACACTTACCTTTACTGGCTCCAACCCTGCCTCTTTGACCTGTCTGTCTCCTCTCCACCTATCTTCTCCTCTATCCATCTTCTTTGAAGGGTCTCGACCAGAAACGTCAGCTTTCCTGCTCCTCTGGTGCTGCTTGGCCTGCTGTGTTCATCCAGCTCTACACCTTGTTTTCTCTCCACAGATATTGGCAGACCTCCTGTGCTTCTCCAGCAATTTCTGTTTTTGTTTCAGATTTCCAGCATCAGCAGTTCTTTGTTTCAGTTTATGTTATCGATGCTACCCTCCATCTTATCACAGACCTTTATTTTGTTACCCACGCCCTGTCAACTTTACTTGTCCCATTACAGAACCCATTACTTGTCCATGTTCAGTCAATTCTGAGGAAGAATTAGGAGCCTGAAACATTGACTCTTTCTCTCTCTACAGATGCGGAGGTACCGGCGTTAGATGAGGGTGAACAAAGTCAGAAGCCACATGACACAATGTGCTGTTTCGAAAGGTTGTGATTTCAAATAAACCATGTGGACGATAACCTGGTGTCGTGTGACTTATGACTCTCTCTACAGACAGTGCCAGACACTTTTGCCATTCACAGTTAGTACTTCAACTTCCCAACATCAGCAGTACTTTGCTTTGTTATTTAGTTCCTAATTATCTAGCTGTTATGATGGGCTTAAAGAAAAACATCTCCAGATCATTTCTTCAGTAACACAGACACTGCACTACCACAGCCATGAGTGTCTGAGAGGCAAATTACCTCTCCAACAATTTTAAATCCAATCACACAAAAATAAGTTAACAAAACTTACCATCAAGCTTAATCATTCAAAGCTCCCTTCTATGATTCAGCCTCACCAGTATGTGACCTTTTGTTTTAAATCACCGCCTGCTATTGTGCCTGTCATCTGTTCACTCAGGTAGGATGTAGGGCCCTTCTGCTCTCTAGCGGCAAATAAAGGGAGCAAAGGTTTATGGAGTGCACCATTGAGTTGTAGGAAAAACAACAGCATTTAACGCCTCTTGATGGCTGTAGGATTGCAAATCTGCATTAACCAGAAACTGTTATTCAGGGCTGCCAGCCATCATTCAATAGGTTAGTCCTGGACATCTTTTGAGCCGTCATTTCATACTCGAACTAAAAACTGCGATACAAGAAGAATAAAATGCAACTTATGATGCTAAAGTCGGACGATTTCTGAAATAAAGCAGGGCTGATCAATTTACAATAAAAAAAACTTTCTTTATGCACAACCCAGTAGACAAATGGAAATTACATTTGTTGTGTTTTAATGTGATACAGATACAACCATTTTGGGAATAAAAACTTTGAGCTCCCAAGATACAACGCCCTGGAACACTGGAGATTTATCAGTTTGCTAAACGTGGCAGTGCAGTTTTACCACCAAAAGCGTCAAACAAAATGAGTAAATGTTCAGACCAAGATGCGCTTTGTAATTAACGTTCTCCGCCATATATGCTGCAGATATATAGCTCACTATGTAGGGCGGGAGAGAATGGTCTTTGGAAATTGCAATAAACGCCAAACTTATACAATATGATCAAACATCGGTGAAGAAACCGAAAAGCAGAAATTGAGGAATTGCTTTGTATTCGTGGATTGATAGAACCAACTCAGCAGTGAATGTGGTGGTCAGTAATCATACGAAAAAAAAACAAAAATCTTCCTTTGTAAAATCGAGAAATCAGTAGGATTTTGGGAGAATCGGGATTTGGTGAAATCGACAAACTTCAGTCAGAAGTCACTGTGGAATAAGTCAGGTTTACAGTCAACCATTCTGTCCTTTTTTAGTGGTTAATCTGTCTCTCTCTGTTTAATTCTACAGCTGGCTGATGGCACTCTGTCTCTCTAACATCTCGAGGTAGTCTGGTTCAGCCTGAAACTTCCCTCGGAGACACAAGCTGTCGCCTCTCTGTGCCTCCCGGAGCTGTTTCCTCGGCGTGCCGTACAGCACCGTTTTGTTGAGCCTGTCGTGCTGCTTGTGCCTGCTATCCTGGGACGGGCCGAACGGACGCTTGGGTAAAGTGCAGAAGCTGTAGTGGTCTCCGGGCAGTGCCTTGGGCCGTTCGGCCAGGTTCTGGTACAGTACCTCGGAGGGGGTGGGAGGGGGTCGGTGTTCCAGGAGCTCCACCGTGCTGATGGAGTAAGTGGGGGCCACTGTGGGTGACTTCTTCCCTTCCAGATCACGGTAATAAGCGACTTGATCGCCCTCCCTTTGAACATAGATGGGGTTCTTGCACATCTGGCCCAAAGGGTGTGAGATGTAATTGTAGACATGAGCTTCTGCCTTGTCTGCCGTTTCTCCGCCGTAGGGAGGGTATTGTATCTGGTAGGAATTCAGGTCCAAGTTACTGCTGGCACCTCCGTGCCCACTCTGAGCCGTCTTGCGCCTCTTCAACACAAAAACGAATAGACCCGCCCCAAAACACACGCTCAGGATGAAGACCACCAGCAAACCCAGGATGAGCACCGAGAGGGGCACAGTACTGGCCTGGGCCACCTCCGGACTAGCAGTGCCAACCTCACTGTCCAGCAGCTTCGGCTTGTCCGTCCTGGTGAAAGAGGTGGCACTAAGATCCGAGTGTTCGGAGCAGATTTCCTCGACTCGCAGCGAGCGCAGCGCCCTGCCCGCGTACTTGGCCGGTGATTCGCAGGACAGCTCGCTGGTCAGTACGCCGCCTCCTGCCCGCTCCATCCAGCTCTTGAGGGCGAGAATGGGGCATCCGCAATGCCAGGGGTTCTCCCTCAGGTCCAGGTGGACAGTGGCGGGCAGCTGGTCCAGGAGGCCCCGCGCTGGCAGCTGTGAGAAATGGTTATTGCGGAGGTTCAGTCGGCTCAGGTTAGTCCCCACGAACACATTGGCGGGTAGTGAACGCAGTAAGTTGTTGTTGAGGTATAGCAAGCTGAGCCTGGCCAGAGAGTGGAAGGTGTACTGCAGGATCTCTTTAATCACGTTGGACTCCAGGTAGAGATGTTGTAGCTTCTGCAAACCCACGAAAATAGCCGGGGACAGCCTCTCAATGTGGTTCCCATTCAGGTAGAGGCGCCGCAGATTGCTGAGGTTACGAAAAGCGCCCTCCTGGATGACTGAAATGCGGTTGTTACCCAAATGCAGCAACTCCAAGCTCCTGTACTCAGCCAGGTCGTGCACCTGGACAATATGCAGCAGGTTCCCGGTTAGGTATAGCTTCTTAGGGTTGGAAGGTTTGGGCTGCAGCTCGCTGATATTGCCAATCCTCCTCTCGTGGCAATGCACATGCAAGGCGCTATCTGAATTCTGCACGCTGCACCAGCAGAGCCCGGGGCAATCGGGCTGCCCTGCCAAGCGGCTCTGGGAGCCCCTCATCTGTCGGGGGTCAGGAGCCGGAGTGGCGGCTAGCCTCCCCTTACCCCCCGAGGAGGTTCGCCCTCCCCTGGAGCCGGGCTGAGCCGCCGTAGCCAGAGGTTGCGGTTGACCCCTGGACGGCCGCTGGATCCTCAATCCGGAATCTCCGCTGTTGCCCCGTCGGGGGCAGATATCCTGGCGGCTGAGCTGGGCTAGGAGGCGGCCGTGGAGCCGGAATGGACTCTCGCAGGCCAGCTCCCCTCCTTGCAGGGAGCTGGAGTCCAGCCAAGCTTTCAAGGGCATCAGCTCACAGCTACAGTTCCAGGGGTTCTCCTCCAGCTGAATCTCAGCAATCCCCCCGATATGCTCCAGGACCCCGCTAAAGGGCAACCTTCGCAGCCTGTTGCCTCTCAGATCCAGGTGGGTGAGCAGCACAAAGCGGAAGATGTTGCCAGGCAGACTGGGGAGCAGGTTATCATTGAGGATCAAGATCTTGAGTTTGTGCAAGCGGTTAAAAGCCCCGGGTTCAATGCTGCTGATGTAGTTGTAATCCGCCTGCAGGTATTCCAGGCTGACTAACCCCAGGAAGGTATCCTCCCTCAGCACCTCCAGGCGGTTGTTGTCCAGGTGTAAGCTCTTCAGCAAAGCCAGACCCTGGAAAGCCCCATTGCGGATCTCCTGCAGGCCATTGCTGCCCAGGTGCAGGGTCACAGCCTGGCTGAAGTTAGAGAAGCAATTAGCCGGCAGTTTGGTGAGAGAGTTCCCGTTCAGAAAGAGCTGGTAGAGCCGGTGCTGGGGAGGTTGCAGGCCGCTTACCCTGGTGAAGCCCCTCGCCTCACAGTTCACATTCAACACGCTGTCCCTCTCCTCGCAGGCACAGCGACCCTTACAGAGCTCCTTCCTGCGGCTCTCCCCTGCACTCCGTGGGCACAGGCAACTCAATACCAACGCGCTCAGCACCAGAACACGACTCTGCATCTTTTCAAGCCCCTCCAGCCCGGCTCAGGGTTGGCAAAACTCAAATGCGCCCTGCTTTCTTGTTCATTCAAACGCGAGAGAGAAGCGAATCCGAGAATCCCACTTCCAAATAACTCCAACATCCAAAAGGAGAGGAAATCCTTGCTGAAATCGACCTTGAAGGTGTGATCTCAAAAGCCAACAACCTCAAAAAGTCATGACCAACCGAGGCCAGCGGGTCCGCGTTATTTCCAAAGCTTTTCTCTCTCTCTCTCCCTCCCTGCCGGACAGAGATTCAGAAAGGAAGGCAGACTGCATTATTACTCACTCAGAGGCATACAGACACACAGAGATTTCTCCGCTGTGTGTGAGGGATGGAAATTCCGACACTTTCATCTGTGAAATCTCAGCGTCCGTCAATGCGAAAGAGCCAGCGATTCGGAATTGGAGAAGGTTAGCCCCGTTCATTCAATCGCTCAGCTTCATCCCCCTCGGTTAATCAGCCGTCAGGAGAGAGCCTGCGGAATGCAGTCCCAGGGAGAAGCACTCAAAGCCGGGGAAGAAGTGGGGGCGGTGGGGGGGATCTGTGTGCGGGAGAACCTGGGACTGATTTCTCCCTTTCTCGGTGCAGAGTTTGGGTTCTCAGAGAGAGAGAGAGAGAAATCTCCTCCTTCCATCTGCTGCCAGGGCCCACGTCACGCACGTTCAGAAGTTTCTGGCTGGGATCCGATTAACTCTGCACCGTGCGAATGGCTTTGTAGACTTTTAAATGCAGCTCCCCTGCCCAGAATTAAAATTTACATAAAACAACACATACACACACACGCGTCTAATGCATTCAGTGCCTTCACAGCACCTGCACTGCTGCAGAATTTTCCTGTTGCAGATTATTACTGATGACTCTGTTCTTAATGAGGAATATGCCCGGATTGTGTATCTATCTATATTTACGTATGGAGCTCATATGCCCAGAAATAGAATTTGCAAAGTTCATCGCGGATGGATGTGGTATCACGAAACCAGGACACAGAAGGTAAAGGAAGACAGCAGAGACACAGCTAGTGTCCCCCCAAACGAGGAAAAATGAATACAAGAACTCAATGCTTCTCCTGTAATTATCCCAGAAGCAATTCTCTGCTCGGAGCTTCAGAACACACACACCACACGCACACACATCTCCTGATCAATAAGCATCCCCTTCCCTATGATTTTCTTTTAAGCCAAATGCTCCAGGGGAGAGGGATGTTGGCTGGAGCATCTCAATTGGGCACATGTTCCACATTCCAAATTCTCCCACGGGATAAATGTCTGACTCGATTTTTTTATTTGGGTGTGTGGTGGGGGTGGGTGGTGTGGAGAGATTTAGAAACTGGATCTGCAGGTTTACTTCCAAGATGTTGCTGCTGCATCTTTGATCTGAAGCTCAAGGCGATAATCAGACTCAGGTTGGCATATGAGCCTCCCTCCTGCTGGAACAGGGCTCCATCTCTTCCACAAAAAACAGCTATGTCCACCGCTGCTGAGAATTGTACTATTAACCATTTTGTTGGGGTTCAGAATCAGCGAAATAAAAACAATGTATCACAGATGTTGGACGTCTAAAAATTAAAAACAAAGCAAAAAGTTCTGGAGAAATTGAGCAGGTCAGGCAGTATCTGTGGACAGAGGGACAAAGTTAACATTTCGAGACCTATATGACTCTTCCTCACACCTGGAACTCTTTCGACAGATGCTGCCAGTCCTGCTCAGTTTCTCCAGCGCTTTCTGCTTTTTTGTAACCGCACGTTGCTCACTCACTCAAATTCAGACATTCCAATAGGATAGCTTCCACCCTGTTAATTTCCCCAAACAAATCAGCAAAATCTGAGTTTGACATTGACCACATCTGGAATACAGTGTACACTATTAGTCTGATTCTGAAAAAGGGTCACTCGACCCGAAACATTAACTCTGATTTCTCTCCACAGATGTTGCCAGATCTGCTGAGCTTTTCCAGCAATTTCTGTTTTTGTTTCCGATTTACAGCATCTGCAATTCTTTCAGGTTTTCTTTTACATTATTAGTCTCCTTATTTGAGGAAGGACATGAATGCATTGGAAGCAGTTGAGAAAGGCTTACCAGACTAATATCTGGATTGGAGGGAAACTTGCATGTGGTGGTGTTCCTATGTATCCGCTTGCCTTTCCTTTTGGAAAATGCTATGTAAGGATCTTTGTTGAACTTCTGCAGTGTGTCTTGTAGATAGTACTTACTGCTGCTAGTGAACATCTACTATTATCTGGTGTTAACTCCCAATTCTCACTCTCTGGAAAACCTATTCTCACTTTACTTACTTACTTTCCTTTTCTTTTACCTATAGAAACTCTTGCTATCTGATTTTATATTTCTCGCTAGCTTCCTCTCATAGTCTAATTTATTTGGCTTGACTACCCATCCAGTCATTTTCTGCCATTCCTTGTATTCTGACCCGTCATCTGACCTTCCACTCAGCTTTGAGTAATTATATCCTTTTACCTTTATTTAATCTTCTCCTTAACTTTCTTAGTTAACGATAGTGGGTACTCCCCTTGGGATTTTTCTTTATAGTCAGAATATTCTTATTCTCAGTATTTTGAAACATCCCTTTAACTGTCTGCGAATGTTTCTCTACTGACCTATCTCCTAACTTAATATCCTGGTTCACTTTAGCTGGCTCAGCTTCCATCTTCAAATAGTTGTCCTTTTTTGAAGTTTAACATGCTCATCTTAAATGCTCACTTCTCCCTTGCAAACAGGGGTGGCATGGTGGCTTAGTGGTTAGCACTGCTGGCTCACAGCAGCAGGGACCCAGGTTTGATTCCACCCTCAGGCAACTGCCTGTGTGGAGTTTGCACATTCTGCCTGTGTCTGCGTGGAGCACCCTCCAGATGCTCTGGTTTCCTGGCACAATCCAAAGATGTGGAGGTTAGGTGGATTGCCCATCGTGTTCAGGGGTTTGATGGATTAGCCATGGGAAATGCACAGATAGGGTAGGGAGGTGGGTCTGTGTGGATTGTTCTATGGAGGGTTGGCATGAACTCGATGGGTCAAATGGACTTTTTCCACAGTGTAGGGATTTGGTGAAATGTAAAATTCTATCATATTATGAACACTACTTCCTAGACGAGCAATTAAGTAATCCTGTCACATTACAAAATACCAAGTTCAGTACAACATGCTGTCTGGATGGTTCCAGAGCGTGCTGGTCCAAAGAAAAACCTGTCTTGACAGTATCCTATGAACTCAATGAGGCTGTTATTACCAATCTGATTTTTACGTTTATATGTGTATTCAAATTCCTAATAATTATTTCCATGCCTTTATCACAAACGTTCGGTTTCTTCTTGTATACTTCAGAGAATCATAGAGTCCCTACAGTGTGGGAACAGTCCATTTGGCCCAACAAGTCCACACCAGCCCCTCCGAAGAACATCCCACCCAGACCTATCCCCCTACCCTTTCCCTGTAACTGGTCATCCCCCATGTCTAATCCACCTAATTTCCACAATCCTACATCATGTTTTATGCTTGGGTGCCTATAGATCACTCCAAAAACTGACTCCTTTCTGCCTACTGTTCCCCATCTCCATCTAACTGTTTCTATATTTAATCTCCCTGGATCAAGATAATCTCTATTACACTGAAGCATCTGTGATTAAGGGTGCTACCACTCCTGTCTTTAACTAGATTCCCATTCCTGGTCCCTTGCAATATTGAAAGCACAAGATTAGTTATCAGTCAAATAGGTCAAAGGAATGCTATCTAATGAATAATGAATACACTAATGCACTCCAATATATGCTTTCAGATCATTACTCACGGATCAATAGTTATTCCTTAATGAACCTCAAAGAAATAGATTAACTGGTTTGTATCTCAGTACTGTTTGTGAGACCCAATTGAGCACAAATTAGGTGCTATGTTTCTTATTCCAACATTGATGACAGTTTGGAGGCATTTCCTTAGCAGTAAAGTGATGTTGTAGGATGTTCTGAGACTATGAAAGACGATCTGCATCACAAAACCTGAGTGCACAGTTTAGTCCGACAATTCAATGCAGTGCTGAGGGACTGTCGCACAGTTAGAGATGATATATTTCAGGTAAAACCGAGGTCTTATATTCCGTTTGAGGTGCCGGTAAAAATCCCATTGCACTATTTGAAACAGAGCAGAGAGTTCTACCCAGTAACCTAGCATGTATTTATCCCTCAACTAACACTTAAGAACAGACTACTTGGTGGGTTGAAGCAACCCATCCTGTGGATAGTACAGTCTGCAGTTTGGAGCACTGATGGAGGGAAGAATGGGGAATAAAACAGCATCAGGCATTCCAAGGTTCTACACTGAAAGCTATCATCGTCTGCTCAGAACTGAATGAAGAACCAAAGTCATAAATTGCTGGAAAGGTTCAGCTGGTCTGGAAGCATCTGTGGATAGAAATCAGTTAATGTTTTGGGTTCAGTGACCCTTCTTCAGAACTGATGGGAGCTAGGAAAAGTTTGTTTTTAGGTAGAAGATAGGGTATGGAGAGAGGGTTCAGAATAAATGATAGGTGGAGATAGAGCCCAAAGAGAGAGATAAACAGATGGACAGACAAAGGAGTGTATAGCCATCTGCCTCAGAGAATGATTAGCCAATAGCGGACAATTAGTGGTTAACGATGGGTGGTGTGTGATGGCAGACTATGTGATAATAAGGCCTGGTATTTAGGGTTTGGGTATGTCCATGTGAAAGCGCCTCAAGCCCTAAAATTTTTGAACTTGATATTGAGTTCAGAAGGCTGAGAGTTCCCAAGTGGAAAATGAGGTGCTGTTCTTCCAGCTTGTGCTGAGCTGTGCTGGAGCACTGCAGCAAGCCTGACACACAGATGTTGGCCAGGGAACACGGTGGTGTGTGGAAATGGCAACTATATTAAGAATCCTTAAAGCCCCTGTGCAGTAAGAACATTCTCAACATCCTCTCTCTTCTCCTTCACTTTCTCACCTAGATCTTTTCAAGCTTTCAGTGTCAG